CCAATTGTTTAAATCTGACAATGTGTGAAAACTGTTTTGTAATTGAGTTCATTTCTGACCCAGTGAGTAAGGCACAGTAATTCTCCGTCAAGACCCAGAAAAAGAAAAATGGAGGCAGTCTGAAAGGAAAGCTGATGGTAGGAGGGGAATAAAAAAGCCAGACAACCTTGCCTGGAAAGAAGAATGGAGATGAGCCGATGTAACAGTAAAGGCCGTAGCCAATGGATGCAGACCACTGAGAATCAGGTTTATTTCATTCTTCACTAAATCCATTCCTTATTCCTTTCAACTTAAAGGGTAAATTTTTTAAAACAGAAAAGCCACATAATTTGAGATTATTTTCAGTTCAACTTTAGGACAGAAAAAAAATCACTCATTTTTACCTGCTTTCCGGCCAAATATGTAAATGGCACGAGGGCTGTCTGCTTATTTTGCACACACAGCAGACACCCAATCTGTGTGCACTTGAGCACGTGCACGCGCACATACACCACCCTAACCCAGATTGCTTGCTGGAAAACAACAAAATTGGGCATAAAAAGTCTGACTTCAGGATCTGTCTGAAGCATTCAGGAAGATACTCACTGGGGCCCTGGAGGGAGTTCAACGAGTGACTCCCCAGAACAGCTGCTGGGAGAAAGAGACTCTTATGATGCTTCTCTTATTGCAAACATTAATCCCATTTCATGGAAGCCAAGCCACTCTTGGTGGTGGTGGGTGGGCTATTTTTAGTTTTTGGAAATTAATCTAATCTAAGATCTTTCCTCACATGGGAAGTGATAAAAGGTGACTTGCACTATTAGGACCACTTATTTTCCCCCTAAAAATTCACCACTCAACTTCGACACTACTCATTTGTTTCTCATGCCATTCAAAAAGGGCGATTCCTGTGGCTACAGCATCATCACAACCATGCCTCCCTCAGTGCGGCATGTGAGGCCCCAATTGTTTCGTGCTACATGTAAGCATGGAGGGCTGAGGGAGGGAAGAAGGCTGAAAACAATGAATACACTTCTCTTCTTGCCCAAAATGGCTCCCTGACAAATGGCCATTGTGAACCACCCACCCATAGGATGGCTGGTCTCAGCAGAGGACCCTGAGTTCTCCCCGTCAGACTTCTCACGGTACCTCAGAAATGCCTGGGAAAACGATGCTAACCGTTCTCTAAGGAGCACCTGAAGGGCCTTTTCCAAATGAGTCGGGCCATGCCATCGACTACCCAATTTTTAAGAATCTTTTTAAAGTCAGTATATGCAGTATCTGGAAATGGACCTCATTTCCCCAGGTTGTTCTGAAAGAGTTTGGAACTAAAACTACTATAGGAGGGGTGGGAGGGAATAAAACTACTGTGTGCCCAAACATTGTGCTAAGTAAGGGCTTCACAAATATCTCATTTTGTTTACATATACCCACAAGCCAGACATCAAAATAGGTCAAATACATGTGCATAACATATAGAATCGATAAGTTTATATTTCAGATAGAAAAAAGTTCATTGTTCAGTCATTTTAGTCATGTCTGACTCTTTGTGACCTCAGCGGGGTTTTCTTGGCCAAGATAGTGGAGAAGTTTGCCATTTGCACCTCCGTCTCATTTTCCAGATGAGGAAACTAAGGCAAACAGGGTGAAGTGACTTGCCCAGGGTCATGCAGCTATCTGAACTCAGGAAGATGAGTCTTACTCCAGGCCCAGCACTCTATCCACTGTGCCTACCTAGCTGTCCTACTAGAAACAAATGGTTTTTTCTAAAAGAGAAATTATTTTATATATAATATGGATTTCCCAGACCTACTCAAGCTACCTTCATCACACAGCATGAGGAATGTGACAGAACATTTCCTCACAAGTGATGCATATACTCCGAACACTACAACTTTACGTACACGTATGGATGGATGGATGTACATCCAGACAGATGCCTGAGAACTCGAGAGACAGCAGCAAGCAGCTGATTAAGGTCTCCGTTAATTTATCTAATAAGATGATTTTGTTTTCATGTTCTCTACTCTTATGATGCAGCATCCGTGAGTCTTATCCATCAATCCCCCTCCCGTGTCAGAATCAGTGCCAGCCTTCCTCACAGAGGAATCTCCATCTCAATTCAAACAGCTACTAAAAGGTCAAAGCAGAACCCCGGAACATTGGTGTCTCCCCAACCTGCTACAGACTGTCATTGGTGGTTGCAAACACAGGCTTCCATGAGACTTGCCAAGTTCCTGTTCCCGAGTCTTTCATCTCTACCAGGTGAACCCCAGTCAGAGGGAGCATCAGGTCGCCTCTGCAGCCTGGCCTCTGCACTGCTCAGCGGGCTCACGGCTCTTGTTCCTGGGGTACCTCGTTTCTGCCCGTCCTAAAGTCTCTCGTACGTGTGGCAGCAATCCCATCTAGTGCCTTCAAAAGCATACGGTCCTTTACAAAATCTTTTTCCTTTGAGGCAGATACTAAAAGTACATTAAGTTGATTAATATTTCTTCTAAAAAATACCTTCTTCAAAAGGTCAGCCAGCCTGTTTCTCTCTCTCTACCCATGGACGGAACAAGTGATTTGCCTTCATAAAAGGAAGTAACTGCACACCATTAAGAACCAGCATTTTAGTGTTCGTTTTAGTCAAAATCCTCTCATACCTGCTAATGAATTTCAACAATGTCTAAAATTCTAAGACAAATTTGTATTAAGTCCTCTTTTCAACTGACTTTTGATACGTGAAGAAAGAGGTATCCATTAAGAAAAAAGTGCACCCTAAATATAAAATCAAATTAGGCCTGAGACAGAAAAACCTTTTAAAATGTTCATTCAATGAGAAAGCAATCACTGATGAAGTATTAGCCGTCAGATAACTTCATTATTGGGCTTTACAAAAGTGGTACTCAGAAGTCAGAAAATAAAAATAAAGTGACCTAGTCTGCATTATTAAAAACTGGCAGTATAATCGAATCCACACAGTTACTGCTCTGTCTTATGGGGAGCTTCCCTGGTAGCAATTTACCTGCGGTTTTTGCCTGCCTAAAATTTCCAGCTTCCTCCTTGGAGGTTTTTGGAAAGCACAGAGAATGGAGGACTACTTCTGTCTGGTACAGCAGAGGGACGACTGATTACCTTTTATGGAACCTTGGCTGGACTAACTGGTCACCAAGGCTCCTTCTGATTCTCAAATTCTGGGGTGCTATCATGTCTGATTAGTTCTAACTCCGAAAAAGCAATTTATCCAAGTGTCAAACGCAAGGTAATCTTTCACTTACTTGGGAAGTTTTTTTTTTTTCTACCACCACTTATAATTTCTTTCCAGGTCTCTTTCATGCTATTAAAAACACCCAAACAATTTACTATGTCGCTGTTGACAACAGAGGAAGAAGCACCAAACACATCTTGGCAAACAGGGTTAATTAAATGACCAGCTCTGGCTAATAGATTATACTGGGGTATCCATTCATCTTAGCCTATCAAAGGCCCATTTGCAGAGCCTGCCTAGCTCCCCTCAGACATTCAGTCACTTTTCAGACCTTCCCCACAGTCCTAACACAGCCAGTCAGTTGGGAGATAAGAGCTGAATACTCCCTTTTCAACAGCAGGGAGAATACTACGTTATGTAATTGGCAGGCATGTGAATGAACTGCCTTCCCACTCTCCACATAGGACTCTTTTCACAGAATCATGGAATTTCAAAATTGGAGGGCACCTGAATTTGTGCCGATTCACACACTCTATATTTAAGGGAGATCAAATAGTAGCCTACAAGGTTACTCCCAATATAGAGAAGCACAAAGTATGTACTCGGCGTAATTATCACTAAACGTGGCTTGAGCACAATAATTGTGGCGATCTCCTGAAATTCCTTTGTATGGTTTTAAATGTTACCTCTGATGTTAATGGCTGTGCACACGAGAGAAAAGATGAACACCCCGGAACCCTTGAGGAATGCGGCTCGTTAACTGGTTCATGAAGGTCCCGTGCAGCCCACCCTTGGCAGCCAGGCCCGAGTTCTAACGCCGCTTCAGCCGGCTCACTGAGAGTGGGCACTGCTCCCCAAGACCAGCTCTATGCGCGGCGCTCCCCGGCCCGGACGTGATCAAGAGCTCCTGAGCTCACCTTCCCTAATGACCCAGGTAGTCGCTTCGGTGCCCGAAGGCCCTTAAAAACAAGCTATCTCGGGCGGCGGCCAGGCCCAGAGCTCTCCGCGCGCCCTATCCCGGGACCCTGTGGCCCGTCCTGATCGCAGCTCAAAGATGAACCTGTCGGTCCGGAGATCCCCTGGACGCTCCTGGAGAGGATTCCAACGCCAGGGCGCGCCTGCGGGCGGTGGTCCCAGGGGCTGTGATCTGAGGGCAGGCTGGGGAAGGGGCTGCCCTCCGAGTGACCCCTGGGCGGGGAGGTCACCCCCACTGGGGGAGGGGCAGGGCACACAGGCCCGGGTCAGCGGGGCTCTCCGAGGGGGCCCCTCAGTCGGCCGGCTGCCCGCGGCGGCGGGGCTCCCTCTGTCTCCTTCACCGTCCTGGAGCTTCGTGGGTGCAGCGCGAGACTCCCGGAGGGCGGTTACTAAGTCCTTGGGGACAAGCACTCGCCCGCCGGCCCGAGGGCCTAACCGCGGCCCTGAGCGGAGGCCCGGGGTGCGGATTCAGCGGGGCCGAGGGGCGGCGGGGACATTAAGGAATGGCTTCGGCCTCCGGGCGCTGGCAGGCCCTCGGAGGGGGCGGGGCTCCGGGAGCTTCGAATTCAAATCTAGCCTTAGACCCTCCCCCCCGGGGAAACTGAGGCTGGCCACACTTTGGCTCCTCCCCAACTGTGGAGCAAACACTCGGCGCTTAATAAGCGCTCCACTAACTAGCCCCGGTAGGGGAGAGGGTCCGGGGCTTAGAGAAGGAGAATTTCCTGAAGCCCCCGTCCCGTCCCCAGGGGCCAGGCGGGGTCACTCGGGGCGGATCAGGGCGACAAGACCCCCCCACCCCCCGGACCAAGTCCCTCCTGTGACGGGGTAAACCGAGGCACGCCCCTCCTCCACTCACGAGAAGAAGGGGTCTTCCTCAAAGCTGCTCCGCGAAGAGCCGAACATCGTGGCGTGGCTCCTGGGCGCGGGGGGGACTCACGCAGACTAGAACCTCGCTGGACCCCGGCAGCTGACCCGCAGCTCGCCCTCCGGTCTGGCCCTAACTGAGTCGCTCGGCCTCCCCCCGGCCAGGGCACCGCCGGGGCAGGGGCGGGGCCGCGCGCACGCGACACAGGCTGCGGCTCCCGATTGGCTGCCGCGGAGCGAGCCCCGCCCCCGACGCCATGGCAACGCGGGCAACACAAACCGCGGCGGGGCGGGGCCGGAGGCGGCCCCCGGCGGAGCGCCGCGTGCTGAATGCTCCAGGGGGCCTCGCGGGTTCCTCCTTCGTCCGTTGGGCTAGATAATAATAATAACAAGGGCTCATGTTCTTACCCCGCTTACTGTGTGTGGGGCGCTGTGCGAAGCGCTTCACGGTGATGACCTCATTTGGTCCCCACAATGCTCTATTATCCTCATTTTACAGAGGAGGAAACTGAGGCAGGCAGACGAAAGTGACCAGCCCAGGGCCACATAGGCGGGGGTTGAACCCAAGGCTCCCTGGCTTCTACGCCAAGCTCTGTCCTAGATAACCTCGGCTAAGGAGCCCACGGAGGGTCAGGGAGAAGTCCCTTGGTCGAGGTCACCTCACTGGTCAGTGATGGAGCTCGCACTCGGACCCCAGAGTTTTCTGACTCCCCATGAAGCCCCCCGGGCTCTTCAGTAATCGCTGCCTGGCATCAGAGGGCGAGTCTGGGTCCGGGGTCAAGGCAGTGGCGGAGTTGGCCATGACTGCCTTAGCACGTGGGCATGATAGATGCCTGGGGGCACAGGGGGACAAGCAGCTCTTCATTTGGGTCTGGGGGCTGCCAGGGCCAGAGGGGAGACTGTCTGTCTTGGGGGGGGGATCCATGGAGTGAAGGAAGGGGCTACTCAGAGATGGAGCCTGAATGCTGGCCCCCAACAATGGGCACCTCCTGTCTGCCCCGGCTGCAGGAGGGGGCTGCAGGCATGGGCCCTGGGCATCTGCCAGGGACAAGGCCTGATTTGGAGGTGCTCACCGGGGTATTTTTAGAGCCTGAAATCCAAGCCCTTAAACCCCGTCCCCCTCCTCGGCCATGTGCCCTCCCAGCCGGCCTCTTCCTCCTGAGACTGGCTCAGTTTAGCTCTGGTCCCCAAGGTAGAGCCAGGTTTCACTGTCCCAGTTTAAGAGAGCCTTGGGACAAAACAATCCTTCCCTTCTCTGCCCAGGTCCTAGCAAGGAAACTCTGAGGACACGTCCACATTTAATTAACTGCTGGAGTCATGGTGTAAACAAGGCTGCCCCCACTAAAGATTTTTTTACAGAAAATGAATATTTCCTCATCAAACATCATTGAGGACAAGATGGTACTTTTTTAAAAAAAAAAGCCTTAAAATGAGAGGCTTTATTGAGACAATGTCCCCAATCAGTAATAATTGGCAACATTTGCACAAAGTTTGTGTTGAAGGGGATGAGTATTAAGTGCCAGGCACTGTGCTAGGCACTTTTTACAAATATTACCTCCCTGAAAGACAGGTGCTGTCATTATTCCTATTTTATAGCTGAGGAAACAGAGGCTGAAAAAGGGTCAGTGACTTACCTACATTTGAATTCAAGTGTTCCAGGATGACAAGCTCTAACCCCTGCTCCACCTAGGTACCTCAAGACATTTTTGAGAAAGTCAATTTTGAAAAACGAGAGAAAGTTAATGTGTTTTTTTCTCTTTTATCCAAGGGAATACTTGGATCTCTCTTTGTAAAACACCTCCCAGTACTGGGTACCCTAGTATTCACACAAGGCTACAGATTCTCATTATCTTAATATAGTGGAGCTGACAATGTTCACTTTCTTGGTATTTTTAGAGTTCAATGGTGTTCAATTTTCTTATAACTCTTAGTTTTCTTCATGTTTTTGAGCAACCTGTGGCTGATCCTTGCAGGGAGGCCCAGGGAGGGAGCTCACCTTACAAAGGAGTGGCCTGGGGCCTTTCTGAGGTGGTCACTTGCCCAGGGTCAAGCAAGCCAGTAGGAATCATAGGTGGGACTTGAACCCAGGTCTTTCTGACTCTAAGGCCAACTCAGTATCTGCAGGCCCAAGTTACTGGAATGTTTTTACTTCTCATTCCTGGCCTCTCACCACTGCCATCTTGTAAACGGCAAAAGTCTCTGTAACTGTGAGCTCTTCTTATCATAAACTGGGGGGCTTGGGGAGGGGGTGCTGTGAGCCTGTGGTTTTTATCTGTTAATGTGCGGAGTTCCTAGGAGCTCCAAGGGGCAGAGCCAATTGAGAAATGTTCAGTGTGAGTATTTATTTATTCTTCAGAAATCTGCAAATGCTACAACCCAAAGCTTGGTTTATTGGTCTGAGAAAGTGAAGAGAATATGTTAATGATGTACGTCAGACATCAGTGCGTGTCCTGGGCACATTTTGGCAGAGCTGGTGGTTAAACACTGACCTGTCCACCCGGAGACTTCTCCCCACCCACCCCTCAGGCTAGGTCAGCTCCTGCTCTGGAGAAGAGCCAGACCAAGAGAGATGCCTTGGCTGGTGGATGCTCCCCAGACAGCCTCCAGGACTCCTCTTCACCACAGGATCAGGGACCAGAATCAGTTACAGAATGTTTCTGCAGGCTCCAGATCCCTAGGCCCTTCCATCACAGATCCTGTCTTTTCAGACACAGGAGTAGAAATTGGATCAAATGTGCACACTCCTCAGCCCCCTTAGGCGGTAATGACGAGGATAACAGCCAGCGTTTACACGGTACTTCTAGGTTTACGAAACACTTTATACATACACTATTATTCACACATGCATATACACACATATATGAATCAAACGACACTATATCTGCATATATGATTCTTACACAGAGCAATGCAGGTGCTGTTATTTCACCAGTTTTACAGGTGAGGAAACTGAGGTGGAGGCAGGTTCAGCACATTGACCAGTATCCCACAGCTAACTGACATCAGAGACAGAATTTGAACTCAGGTCTTCCCCATTCCAAATCTAGCGTTCTCTCCACTTTGCCACCTGGCTCCCCACATTGGTTAAGGTCATTAGCTCTTTTCAAAGTTTTATTTGGGATTTTTTCCTAAATGCAAAGTTTGTAACTCCAATCTGGATTCCTCACTGAATCATAAACTTTGTTGTCTGGACCAGATCAAAATGTAATTGGGAAGTATTTAACAAAATAAATAAAAATACAACAGAACGCAGATGATGTTAATCTGTGCTTTTCCACATCAACCTTGTGGCTGGCGGTTAGGTAGCCCCAGTTTCTATCTGAGTTTGACCCCACTGGTTTAGACCATGGATCAAATAACCAAGGCAGTATCACTAACTCAGTGGAAGATAAAGTATCTGGGAGGAAACAGACGGCTTCCAGAGGGCTAAATTTGTGGAGCTAATCACGAAGGAATCGCAAAGGCTGAATCCTCCAGCGGCTGCGGGGCGCCACACTTCACAGTCATCCCGGCATCACTGGCAAGAACGCGGACATTGGGAGTCAGGACTCTTCTGCAGGAACAGCTGAGGATCACAATTTCTCCAAAGGCAGTCCAGCCTACTGTCTCTCCCTTAGTCAGTCAACAAGCTTACTAGGGACTTGCCCGCACCAGCCACGGCACTAACTAAGCACTGAGAATACAGAGCAGACGGACCCAGCCTGAAAGGAGCTGGTCAGTTCTGGGCACGTGGCATGGTTCGCCCGGGGAGCCTGGCCAAGATCCCACTGCCCGTCATAGGCTGGGCAGTGCCCATTCTCCATTTCTCCTGGGGGGGGGGATGTTTCCCTGTGTGCACAGGGCAAATTCTTTTGAGTAGCTGTGGATCTTATTAAAGAGAAGTGCAAGTGACCCAAAGGGCATTGGAGACATACCTGGGTGGCCTATCTAGCCTTGGGGAAGTAGAGCTAGGCTTGGAGTCAGAAAGACCCGAGTTCAAATCCAGCCTTAGATACTTCCTAGCTGTGTGATCTTGGGCAAATCACTTAATTTCTGTCTGCCTCAGTTTCCCCAACTGCAAAATGGGAGTATTACTTTTACCTACCTCTCATGGTTTTTGTGAGGATGAAATGAGGGCTTAGCACAGTGCCTGGCACATTTGTTGTTGTTTACTTGTTTTCAGTTATGTATGACTCTCGACGACCCTATTTGGGGTTTTCAAGGCAAAGATTCTGCAGTGGTCTGCCATTTCCTTCTCCAGCTCATTTTACACAGGAGGAAACTGAGGCAAACAGGGGGATGTGACTTGCCCAGGGTCACAAGCTAGTAAGTGTCTCAGGCCAGATTTGAACTTGAGGAGTCTTCCTGGCATTCAACCCACTATGCCGCCCAGCTGCCCTTGTCTGGCACGTAGTAGACACTTAATAAATGATTATTCCCTCCATCTCCTTCTAAATCTAATCCAACTCTTATGAATCTGTGACTTATTTGAACTAAAGCGGACGGGGGTGTGGAACCTAGATAACAAAAGACGCAGTGACCACGGTGACAAAAACACTGACCTCTGAAGAGCTGAGAAGATGTACCTCCTCATGGATGTGCAATACTGCAAACCCTAAGGCAGTCTGTGCGGTGGATGGTTTTGCTAAATTCTGCACCACCACCCCCCGGCTCTTAGAGAATTATTACAACACTTGGCTTGCTGGAAATGAAGGCGATGTTCAGAAATTAAATTTCTTTTAAAAATCCCTTTTGCTGGAGTACACCCCTGTAAAGTCTTCCCCCAGTGCCTTCCTGTGTCATGTAGGTGACCCAGAGACCTCACAGGCTGGGCCAGGGAAACACCAGCCCTGTCAGCTGCTTGAGGGCCCACCCTTCCAGGAGAAAAAGTGATCCTATAGAGGCTAGAATGTCTTCCGTTCTCTAAAGAAAAGAAAGGAAAAGGAGAAGGAAAATTAAAAGGAAAAGGAAAAGGAAAGGGAAAGGGAAGGGAGGGAAAGGGAAGGGAAGGGAAGGAAAGGGAGGGGAGGGGAGGGGAGAGAAGGAAGGGAAGGGAAGGGAAGGGAAGGGAAGGGAAGGGAAGGGAAGGGAAGGGAAGGGAAGGGAAGGGAAGGGAAGGGAAGGGAAGGGAAGGGAGGGGAAGGGAAAGGAAGGGAGGGGAAGGGAAGGCAAGGGAGGAGAAGGGAAGGGAAGGGAGGGGAAGG